ATATTAATCCATATATACCATACCAATTAATTGTTTTTTTATAACAAAATAAAAAGTAGATTCATGTATTAAAAATTTAAAACAAATACGATATCGCACCCGGGTTAAAATTGTCAGAAAATCTTCCCTCAAGGAAGAAAACCCGTGTTATTCACCTGACCCCGAAGAATGAGGAAGAGAATGTTTGACCCAGTACTTTATCCAATCGATGCAAGATAATGGCCACAAGCCGAACATGGGGAAAATATTTATTTCATCAAGTTTCATTTCATCCAACCTCAAACCCGCTCTTTCTATTTTTAACTGATAAATCCGATAAATTTTCACGAACGCGTCGCAATACTCGTGTGCTTAATCAAGAAATACTGTCATGTGATAATGTTCGTTTAAGTTGAATAAATTCAAATAAATTCCAATTTCGGTCCGTTTGAATATTTAGTGAAATATTTAGACAATTAAAATGCAAGCAAGTCCAATACAATATCCATTAATCTGTACAACATACTATTATCTAAAAACATGAGAACAATAATTACTGCCATTAAGTTCTAATTAATAAGAGATAGGCTATTTTTATTTGCTATAATGGGAAATTTATTTTACAAACTCCTTTCAGAAAGAATAATCAAACTGTATAGTTAAAATTTTTCTAAAGATTCTTAAGTTTTCGATTTGAACAATTTCATTGATTTAAATAAATTTATCATCGATAAAATCTAAAATTAATAAAAAGAAACTTAGAAAACACGTTAATATATACATATAAATTGTAAAAAATTTCAAGAATATAATTAATATAAAATATAAATAGCTATATTACTTACTCATAGGTCTAATTTGTATCTGGAATATTTAAATTAGTGTTTTTTTAAAATGAGGTTATTAAGATCAATGTAAAAAGCGAATACTAGGTTGATGTTTGCATAGATCTGACAATGGCATTTGATTCTGTTGACCACACCAGACTATTTTTCAAGTTGAATTGTGTAGGTATTCAACGAAATCTTTTGAAATGGATTCATTTCTATCTACATGAAAGAAAAACGATGGTTCTTTTTCGTGATAAATTTCCTAAGATATGACTGCGAATTCAGGCGTTCCCCAAGGTTCCCACCTCGGCCCAATACTATTTATATTGGATTTTAGTAATCTCGTCATGCCTAACCTGTCTTCCTCGGTTCTGGCTTTTGCTGTTAACATATTTAACTCATAATTTAGATGAAGTCGATTGACTGGCATATTATGCGCGATAGCTTAGGTCGATCGAAATCAAATGTAAATGCTCAAATCCTGCCAACTCGCTTTGTACGCCAATCGCGCTTTACAGTTCATCCTGGAGGATTAGTGCGATCGTAAAAAACATTAATAAGGAGCTGGAAAGAGTAAGACGGTTCTGCACTAGATGGAAGCTGGAAATTAACTCTTCCAAAACGAGTTGTATTCTCTAAGCGTAGGTCCCTGCTCTCCCACAATATATTACTCGAGGGGAAGTCGTTTGAGTGGTTAAGAAATATGAGATATCCAGGGATCACTCTTGATACCAAATTGAATTTCGGCGCTCACACAAGAAATCTTGTAGGCAACGGAAAAGCGGCTATACGATCACTTTTCCCATTGCTCAGAAACGAGTATGGCACGAGCCAACTCAATAAACTACTAATTTATAAAGTATTTATCAAACCAATGTTGCTATATGCATGCCCAGCATGGAATTTTACCTGTAAAACAAATCTCAATAAATTACAGGTAATTCAAAATGAATTTCTGCGGCTAGCCACTGCCTCTCCCAGATATTATAGATTGACACGAGCGAACTAACATGAAATGGGAAGAGGAGGAAATTTACGATGCGGTCTACAAATTCTTTAGGCGAGTGTGTCCTCAAATCCCATTTGCAGATCCATAGGTGCATATCCAACAAATACAAATTGGAAACATAAAAGAATCAAACACAATGTACCTGGCTTATAAACTTGTCATAGTTCATCAAATTTATAGTAATAAGAATGTATATATACCTATTTATGTATTTAATTATTTATATTATTTATTTATTTATTCACTTCTCATCTACACTTTTATATGCATTTATTTAATTTATGTATAGATTTCATCCCTCTGCTTGTGGTTTTTTGTTAACATAAATTTTTTTTCCCACAAACTGTAATGGAATTTTTTTTACCGATTTGTATAAAAAAAATGATTAGTGTAAATAGTAGGAAGCCATAGTGAAATGTCACTTTCCCTATATTCTAAAATTATTGTATATATATTGTTGTGCACATGTACAAATAAAAATTAATTCTATTCTATTCAAATGTAAAATTTTATTATAATATATCTTATCGGCTATATCTTGTGTTAACACTATTTGTGATTTTTTGATAGTGGTTGGTCTTTTTCTAAGCATATTCGCTCGGTGTTTTCGAAATGTTTTGAATGATTGGTTTTATTTGTGGATCTACTGGCGACTTCAAGAGTTTAGCAGTTTGGATTATGCCTTTCTTGTCTCGTATCCTTATCGTGCTTTTGTTTTTTGATCATTTTAATAAAATAATGAAATTGTTCATTATTCATTCGAAGATATGATGTATGTTGATCGACCTGCAGAAAATCTACGTACGGTTAAAGTAAAACAACACCTCGCTAAAAATCCATATGACTAGAGTTCCAACCATTTTTTGTTCTGACTAGCAATTTCTTACAGGTACATTTGTGATCACATAGAATATATTTAAAACTAAAATTACAGGTATGGTCAAAAGATTAAAATTAAAATCATATGGATTTTTAGCGAGGTATTGTTTTAAGTTACTATAAATTATTGTTTTCATTGTCAAATATAAATATTGTATGTTAATAATTATTTATAATTTTATGTAGATGTCTGTTTTCACCGTCAAAAATGTAGTATGCTGGCCATGTCCTCCATAACCTTAAACCCAAAACGCTTTCACAATTGTTTTTCCATGTTGTTTTCTTCATTCATTGGGAATGTATGTATATCATTTTATTACATTAATTGTTAATTGTATGTTACTGCGATTTTATTTTGAATTTGTAGTAAAATAAGCCCTGCTGATGGCACTAAGTTGCCGAAAGCTCGGTGAATCCAAAATTAGTCTAGTTTTTTCACCTGTCTAATGACCTCTACGAAGATTGGAACCCTACATAGATTTTTCATTTGGATCACATCAGCGATGCTGATAATTTCTATGGTAATTGCTTAGATTGTTGGCTCTATAATTTTACACTATTGCCTTCAAAATCTAGGGTGAAATTAGTGGCAATTTTTGTTTGAAAATTGTTTAACAATCGCATTGTTGGTCCAGCACTATTGGATTTGATAGGATACCACATGCCTGACCATAGAACTAGGACTAAATAGAACTAGAACTAACAAGAATTCATTTTCCGAATCTACAGATATTTACAGCATCTCTAATTCTAAAAGGTTAAAAACAAAATGGTCAGAGTGCTTAGCAACTTAAATAGTTTAGTAACTGATTCACTCCTTTATTTATTATTATTTTTAATTGTATTTTAGTTTGAATTTTTTCATTGCTATTATTATTTTTTTACTGTGTGGACATTGCCCGTAATTGTAATTAAACATTTCATTAAAAAAAAAATAAAAGGGAAAGTCAAAATGTCAATTAAGCTAAATTTACTGATAATTCCAATCCGAAAATGATTTTTAATAGCTTTTTGCAAGCAATTTTTCTCTTATTTATGCACAAAAATAAAAATTTACTACAAATTCTGTAATTTTGTATAAAATCTGAGCAACTTGGTCAATTTAAATAAAAATATCGCCACAGTTTAAAATTAATAAAAACTAAATTAAAAATAAAGTTAATATGCAAATAAATTAATATGTATAACTGTGAAGAATCAATTTATTATAGTAATCTGTAATAATGGCGCTCTTAATTAATGATAGGACTAATTTGTAAATCCGAAACGTTTTAAAGGAAATGCCAACTTACATTTGTTGATAAATCATATTGGAAAACGATTTTTTAACAGTTTTGTGCAAACAATTTTTCTCTTATTTATGCACTAAAATGATAAAGATTGATTTATGAGAAAGTTATGGTTAAATAAATTTATATATAAAAGTGATATATTTATAATTTAAGAAGGAAAAATAAAAATTTTAACATGCTAGTTTGAACATTTCACTGTTTTTTTCTTTGTTAATTTTATTGCAAAAATTGATTGTACTTTGAATTCAAAGTCAGGGTTTTATTATTCATTCCACTAGATTTTGAAGATTTTGTTAGTTAAATTGGTGAGTTTTAATGTTGTTTAAATTTGGCACTTAGTGATTTATTCGCAAGTGGTTTAATTCATTTATCCGATCGGATTTAAAGCTCATAGAGCGACCCCCAGGGCAATAGAGGGTTGACCCAATTTCGAATAATCAAAACAACCCCCGGGGCGTGTATTTTCCGGAACGACGTGAGATGGCAACTACAACACCTGTGTTTATATCGACAACACGAAAATATTAAAATCAACTTATTGATTTTCGTCGATTAATCATAACAAAAATGATTATGGCATTTTAATGTGGTACATTTTTGTACAATAGTTAATATTTATTTATTGCGGTGTTTCGCGACCTTTTAACATTTGCATTTATGAAGTTCTTTGTGGGTGTAATAAATATTTGAACGATTTTTGTCATAAGGGCCTCGTTATTCACAGGGGTCGACAGTTCAATTTGCATGTATATAAGGGGCCAGAACTCGTATGGTTTATTTATTTTTTTGAATAATATGGACTTGTGGTTACATAACATTAGACACTTAAGGTTTTTTTTAATTAAAAAAAAATTAATGGCACTATATATAATATTAATTAATTACTGACAAGAAGGACATTTTTGTCAATTTTAAATATCCAGCGATATCTGTCTTGTTATTTGACTCTTTTTTTTGTGGATTTTGAATAATTTTAGAAGCGGTGTAGAAAATATATTCATTGGGTCTCAC